TATATATATATATATATATGAATGATTTCCGTGATTAGTTAGAAAATTTGCAACAAATTTTGGTGTCTTGAAGCAAGAATTAGGGCCGTCAATGATCAAATTTCAAGTCGAGTTGGGGTCAGGTTGAAATCAACTTGAATAGATTTACTAGACTCAAAATAGACTATTGGCTCGTTATATTCTAATTCGATTGGAGCCGTGCCGGCTTGATACTGAATCGAGCTTGATCTGGTTTGAAACCTAAATAAGCCGGCTCAAATTGAGTTATTTGGATCTGTTCTAGCTCGAAACTAGCTAGTGACTCGTTACATTCAATTTTATTTAACATTATATATATAATTTTTATAAATAAAAAAATATTATGAGCGGATCTCAACTCAGTTCGAGCCGATTCATGTATGACTTGAAATTGGGTTGAAAAAAATTTAATGCTAATTTTCGGCTAAATATTATGAGCGGATTTCAACTCAGCTCGAGCCGATTCATGTATGACTTGAAATTAGGTTGAAAAAAATTTAATGCTAATTTTCGGCTAAATAGCTCGACTTGTTCATTTTAATTAGATCTCAATCTGAGCCAAAGTTTGAATTCAACAATAATGATCTTCGAGCTAAATTCGAGCAGAAGGACTGCCCCCATTTGGGAGTATTCAAAAGTTTCATATGCCTAATGGATGTTTGAGGGCTATATAATTAAATAGAGGTGTTTTGAAGGGCCTTTATGTCAATTCCCCAAAAAAAAGAGACATTTGAAATTTAATTAATAACTGAAAGGTTGAAATTCATATCATAAGTATTGAAAGGTCGGCTGGAATAATCTAAATTAGCCAAAATCAACCAAACTTATTCTAATTATTATATTTATGAATTTAAAATTTATCAAAAAACCAGCTTATGAAAAGAAAAAGTTTTTGCATATACTTAAAACTTTAAAAGTAAAATAATTAAACTAAAAACTTAAACTTGATCAAAGTTATGGAATTGGTTGAAATTAATAAGAAAAAAATAAAGAGAATTACACACATATTATTAAAACCATACATAACTATACTTATATACAACTTAAGAAATAAATTATTGAATTCACGCATATACGATTTGTTTGGGACTGCGGTGCAGCACCACACTGCACTTTTATCTGTTATGATAAACTTCATTTTGACAGTTATTTTCAAAAAATAGCCGTTGAAATTTGTATTTTCCTACAACTCTTAGCTGGGTGAGGTGGCATCTTTCTAGCTTCAATCTGACTTTAAAAAAAATTGTAATAGCCATCGTAGCTTTTTGAGGAACAGATTACTATTCAACAACTCCACAGCTACTTTTAGTAAGCTGTGGTTGCCCCAAACAGATCCTTATGCTTGACAAAAACAAATAATTATTAGAATTTCAACAAATAGATGAGAGTTAAGATTTTTATGTAAAATTTTGATATTTATATGATAGCTTGATCAATTGAGATATAGATAGCTGAGATTTGGGTAATATTCATGAAATTACTAACACAAAATTACATTTTTCTTATAGGAATAATTAATTTTAAATTTTAAATAATAAATAGCCTTTATTAGATTTGGGACCATTTATGATTCACCATGCAAAGAGAGAACAGAAGCGCAGTGGTCCATCTTAGAGGCACTTACATATATACCACACAATTCCAATGTATTTACATATCCAACACCCAAACATTATTTTTTCTCATTAATACCACATAAATCTTTCATATCAGAAAAATACCATTAATATAACCTTTAAAAACTAAAATACAAATTCCCATGCCTTGATAAGGTTATACATGTAAGAAGTAAAGTTCAGAAGTTAGATATTTAAATACATAAGAATTGAATTGAGAGGTATGTATGTAAATCTTCATTTTGTTTTTAATATTTCATAGTTATGTCCTCTGTGAACTGTGAACCATTTCATAGTCAAGTCTTTCCATCTTGAAAGCACAATAAACCATTTGTGCAACCCTGCATATGTACACACATACAACTACTCGATATTTGCACTCTATGAGGACCATCCACAAGGCAAGTAGATTCAGCTTTATTAATCCATCTAATCCATATTTTTGGATACTAAAATCTTCAAAATTAGCATATTCAAGGATATTGAAGCAATTGGCTCAGCATGATATTAAAACCATCTACTTAGCCACTGGCTTAGGATTAAAACCAACCATCTATGTGTGGGCTCCGAAAATACACGACCACTCCTGACGGATTCTGCATTATTTTACTTTTGATTTGCTCAGAGCTTTAGAGGGTCGAATTTTCAGAAGACGGATTGGATTGTAGATAAGACACAACCTAGATATTTCACCCTCATTTAACGAAGACTTTTTTGATATGGGATTCGAGATTTCCCATTAGCGCAAGCCCCTATGGTTAATTACCACTCCCGATAACAAGAGAACACTTTTGATTAAGACTAGTCATTAAGACTTGAGCATTCAACATATAATAATAACAGATTTAAGACTTTAAATTGTAAAATTCACCACTTGAAGCTTAAAGCAGATGGTGGGGTATGAAGATGAAACTCGATCACGATCCCACGGCTCCATCATCATGAGTCATCGTGGTCCTTGATCACCTTAGTCAGAGGAGGTAATCGACCCATCCTTACAAAAGGATTCTTGTCAGCACTCAAGGATTGCATCGCTCAAGATATCCTTGTAAATCTAGGGTGGATGTTTGTCTAAGGGGACAAAGTTAAGTCCACATTAGCTAATAGAAAGTTTTATGTCAATCAATTGTACACTTATGATTCACAACTAAAAGAGTAGAAAATCGTTAGGAAGCATACGAACTGCGACCATGACCGTAATATAATGGTGTCATTTGGCGGCAACCACCTGGTCAGTGAGCTCATGTCGTAGCCACTATTTTGTGGTGTCATCTGACCACACAACCACGCGAATAGAGGACTTGAGCCACATCCTTACTGACATGCAATTGCTTTGATTGTAAATACAGGGATACATTTAATATAACATTAGTTTTTTGTGAGCTCAAGCCAATTAGAAATTTGTCACCATCGACAAACTGTTGTGGAGGGTGGATGAGATTTTGCTTTAAGCTTTTAGTGATCGAATTTTGCTTGAATATTTGGTTAGTTACTTTAAAAATCTTAATTTAAAAGATTGACCACTCCAGTTGAAATCTTCAATCAACACGGCCATCATCGGGGTATAGGCCCTTTTATGTTTAAAATGGGCATTCAATTTTGTCAGTTTAAACTTTTAGGATATAAGTTCTATCGATTCCTATTTTTTATGAAATGGATCAGACTATTTCGGTGATTTAGAATTGTAAATTCTTATTTCAAGATTTGGAGATTTATTTTAGGACTACTAGACTCATCAACTTCAATCTTTGCTAGGAGGAGAATCAAACTAGTGAGGTCGGACTTACCACTCTATCCTATAGACAAGGCGACCCATTTAACCTGCACATGATTCTAGAAACTAATGTTTGAGCATCTAATACATTAGTTGGAGCACACGTTGGCTTTTAAATTTCATATATTTAAATAGTTTAAAGAGTTTAATAAGTTTTACATACTTGCATAAACTTTAAGCCATAAATTTAATATGGAACTTACATCAGGAAGCACATGCAACTTTTGAAAATGTGCATAATTAACTTGCTTATATAGACACCTTGATGCATATATAGCTCAAATGTATCTCAAATGATACTCATCTAAGTCTTAAAAAGTGGATTCACATTTCAAAATATCACCTTCGACTTAGGCGATAACCACAAAATTTTTATAAAATTTGAATTCATTTGGAGTTTAAAATATTTTAAAAGTATTATAATTTTAGGATTTTAAAAAGGAACAGCTTTCTGTTCACTAGCAGATATATTGCAAATCCAGCGGTTGTCTGTAATATTAATTCTTCATTTTAATATTGAAAAATATCATTTTTATCTTAAATTTACCCCCAATTTATGATATTTAGCATTTAAGTCAAGCTTACAAGCTCCCAAATTATAATACTTAATGTTTATATCAAGTTCAAACATCACTTCATAGAATTTGGTATTTGATTTATATTGACCCCTCAATTTGTAGAATTGGATATTCAATTTAAGTTTAGCCCCCCATCCTTTTACATTTAAAAATTTAAGGAATTCAAATTTCCAAATTCAATTGCAAATCTAAACCATCCAATTTCAAATATATATTTTATTTTATTTTTTGCAAGTTTAAAACCTCATATAATTCAAAAAATTCAGCAAAAGCTTCTGCCGCTCAGTTCACAACATTCCCTATCAGCTGCAAAAGCAGTCACGTTGGCATAGAAGCAGAGCCAGCTCAGTTTGGCCAATGTCGCACAAAAACAATTGGGCGCTCGAGCGCCCTTGATGGACGCTAGGCAGACAATTAAGTGTGTGTGCTTTTACGCCCACCATGGGCACTTGAGTGTCTAAGTCCCTTACGGAGGGCTTGTAAAAGTGCCTTAAAAAACACTATGTAAGAAAATATAAGGTGTAAAAGTGCCTTTAAATATTACACTTTTAATTTTAAAAAAAAAACTATGTAAGAATATCACTGGGAATGTGAGCTCTACTGAACAAAAGAGTTCAAAAAGCATAACATTGTATAGAAAAAAAAACTGCAAAAACAGCTTTTTATTTCCAACTGATCTACACACTTAAAAAACACTTTCAAATACAAGAAAACAAGTAGTAAATGTTATAATGCAGTACTTTATGTATCTCAACTTGGTTATCAAAAAGCAATAGTAAGAGACTTCAAAGATCATCATACATTAGTTCCAAACAATAGCTTACTTTGATGACAAAATTGCACCTGCAATTACAACTTAGAACATCATTGAAGCATACAAAAATTTATTAATGTGTATAAAACATTTTATACAAATATTTTATACACAGTGAAGCAAAGTAATACACTTAAAACATAGAACTTAGTTTTATATATTTGTGTATTTTGCTCACCTAAGAGAGCTTCTCCTTGAATCCATATCGGAGCATCCATTTCGAAAGTTTTCATAAAGTGAGGTCTGTGGAGTTGGAGCCTGAATGTCTACTGCTTCCTCTCATGTTCTCTATCTGTTCATTTTCAAAGGTAGCAGTTTAATGAATAAAATATTAAATATTTATGCTCTAAAACAAGATCTATTAACTCATGGACTATAACAAGTTCAAGTAGAAATAATCATATGTTTAAAATAAATTGATTAAAAATTAAGGGTATGTTTGGGACAGTTTTCTGTTTGTTTCTTTTTTCAGACCACCATTATAATTTTGTTTAGAAAAATGTGTTACGCTGTTTTCTAGAAATTTCTACGATAAGAAACTGTTTTTTTCAACCCACCCAAGTTATTAAAATACGGTATCTACTAGAAAGTTACGGTCTAATTTTTTGAAAATAAAATAAATTTATAATAGTCATCGCAGTATTTCAAACAACAGTTTCTTCTGCAGTAGCTTTATTATTGCTTCTCCAAATAACTGCAACTGTCTCAAAAAGATCCTAAATTAGTAGTTACATCTTTTAAAAAACTCATAAAAAATATTTTTTTTGGATTTTATTTCTAAATTTTAATTTAGTAAATTTTATTTTATGAGCAGGATCCTTAATGGTGCGAATAAAGGTATTTAGAGATAGTTATGTGATTAAATTATTTAAACACACAGGGTAATAGTCATCCTTTTTCAATTAATGATCATTAATATCTATATGTGTCTCAGATTTGTGAAAATGAATTTTTGCATTACCTGCATGAAGAGATGTTCTTGAAGAATTTAATGGTAGAAGTTGTGCAAAAGTGGTAGGCATTTGAAAATTGCAGTGATTATTTTCATATAAAGAGAATACTGATGGTACCAAAGCCTGAGAACCTGCTGGCATTAAAGAGATCAGTGAAGGAGATCCTGATGAAGCAAATAGAAAACCTTGAGTAACTTCTGCTTGAGGCACATTTGACTCAAATTGCTGAAAAAAAGAGTATGCCATAGTCGTACTATCTATTTCATCAAGCTGATCATATTTTCCAACACCCCCTTTCTGATCAATCTCTGATTCCATTGTGATATCTCTGAGTGATCTATTTTTCAAAAAGATATCAGAATTATTCAAATGTGCTGATGATTTCTGAAATTGTGCTGTTACATTCTGGTCAACAACAGCATTGTTGCTAAAAACATTGAATTTTGGAGCTCTATGATCATAATTATTAACATTTTCAGTAATATCATCATTAATAGCTGAAGAAGAAGAAGAAGCCAAAGATTGTGGAAACCGAATTAAATTTCCTGGAATGAATGGGAGTGGAGGGAGTTTCTCTATTTCGTTTTGAGAAACATTAAGCAACCAATCTACAACTTTACTTGGTTGATTAAGGCCAAGCTTGTCTTGGAGATCATATAATTTAATTGCGGTGGGGACTGACAGCCTCACTCTTCTATCTCTCAATCCTCTTATGGTGCTCACTTTACTATGTCTATCTTTTCCTCCAAATGTTTGGGAGACTCTCACTACCCTTGGATTTCCAAGTGTAGGGGGCCATAGTCTTGTGCATGTTTTTTTGGCTTCATTTGTATCCCCATGTTGTTTATGTAGGGATTCCTTTTCTCTTGTATCTTTTATCATCTCTTATGATTTTCATCAAATCTTTCCTTGAGCAATTAATAACTAGAGAAAACAACTCATTAGTTACTTAATAGAGGAGCACAGTGAATGAACTATATATATGAAGTCATGCATTTGAAATTGTATAACTGTGTAAAAGCTGCCAAATAAATTACCATGAATTTTTAAAATTTTAAGTCAAAGTTCAAGGGCAGGAATATGAACTGGATTAATGAAAAAAAGTCCTCTAATTTCAGAAAAATGAGAAAAAAACTACAACATAATGCAGACTAAGAGAATTTTTCAAAATGAAACATATAAAAACTGAGATTTATAGAATTCACTTCAAAAGATATACTTTTCCTGTTAGGTATGACTCATATCTAGGGAGTTGGATTGGAGTTTCTTGGTGAATAGGTGTGTCTACTGGTGAAAAGGAGTGTCTCTAGGAATAAAGGGGGTTGGGAGGAGAGCGAGAGCGTGATTGTAATTTTATTTGAGGGTTTGTATATGTCTATTTATATGTGTAACCCTATGGGATGTATAGGAACTTCTCTGAAATAGTGGAACCGCCGCTGCTCCCGAGGACATATGCAATTCCTTGCTGAACCTCGTTAAATCTTTGTGTTCTTCTTCTGGTTTATGTCGATTCCTGTTTTATTCCGCCTATTTTCACAACATTTCCAATCTTTAAGACACAAAAGAAATTTGTTAGGAAGAACAAAACAATTCAATGCATACTCAATGCATAAACACATAATATCCTATTTATACACTCCATAAACTTTTTATTTTTTTTTGTTAAATTTTCTGTGCATAAGCAGAAGATTCAATTAAACTTACTTGGAAACGCTCAATCCCATAATTATCTCAAGAAATTTCTTCGAAGATATACACTCCATAAACTTTTTATTTTTTTTTTGTTAAATTTTCTGTGCATAAGAAGAAGATTCAATTAAACTTACTTGGAAACGTTCAATCCCATAATTATCTCAAGAAATTTCTTCGAAGAAATCCAATACTATGGATGAATGAAAGCCAGAGATTGTGAAGCTGATATGATTTAGAGATGAAATGGATTCTAACTAATGCAGGTTAGCTGCTTTGAAAAAGAAGAAGAAGATGCTGGATTTACAGAAACCCTAAAAAGGGAAAATAAAGGTATTGCGCATTTGCTAACATGTGGTGCTCATCTATTCTTATCAATTTTTTATATTCATCTTGACAACCACCGCTTTATTGACAGTGGTAAGTTAGCCTTGATTACTTACGCTTCACTAATTTTTTTGTTTATGTGTTAATATAACCCTTTTACATTATGACTTTTAATTTCTTAGTGGGGGCATTTTGATATATCAGATAAGGGACATATGTTGAAGTTGAACGGAACGAAATACCGAGCAAGCAACCGGAACTTAGGTACGACTGATATATCAGATAAGGGACATAAGTTGAATTTGAACGGAACGAAATACCGAGCAAGCAACCGGAACGGAGCTCGCGAGCTAAGTAGAGCGGAAGCATTTGTCCAATCAGGGGGAGTTTCGACATGTGGGTCGGAGGTGCAGGGGCAACGCTCCCATGGTACGGTATATGGGTAATTTTATAATTAAATATTGTACACTATGTTTATATATATGTTGTATTGTAACCCAAAGGGGATTTTTGTACTCTCTTAGTGAAACAAAAGAAAGCCGTCGTGCTCCCGAGGACGTAGGCAAATTCTTGAAACTCGTGAAATTTCTGTGTTTTCTTTTTTATTTGTGTCGCTTCTTGCTTTACTTTGCCCTAATTCCTCAACATATTTATCTACTACCACTCAATTCCCATGTATTTAACTATCTAACACGAAATATTTACTTTTTACATTTATACCGCAAAAATATTTTATCTAGGATAAAAAAAATCATTATTTTGACTTTTAAAAGTGAGATGACATGTATGTAAAAATGGAAGTTTAATTGTTAGATATGTAAATATATAGGAATTAAGAGTGGAATGTATATATGTAAATCTATATTTTTATGTAAATAACTTTAAATCAGTATCACAAGGTTGACCGTTTAAGAGTATGTGGTATCATATTTAAATATAAAATTAAATATAAAATATTTGGACGCGAATATTGACTAAGTGTTTGTGAAGATATCATGATTCTTTTTAAAGCTTCGACAAATAGATATTTTGTAATATGATAATTATTAAACATTAGGTACGTGTTAGATTGACAAATGTCAGAGATCAAGCCTAACCAAAAAATTAGAAAAAAAGGCAAACTTTTTCAAATATAGTGCTATATGTCAAAATAAAATTATATTAATGTATCTCTTTTCATAAGCCGATTAAGTAATATGTCATCAATATCTTGGAAGCTGTATCATAGCCCAGTTGGGACCAGTATATCCTCTTTATGACAGCGCTAACTAGAAGGACCACACCACCCCTACCACTTATCACTGACCAAAATTTAGTTGGGAGCAAGTTGGAACAAATGAGGATTCTGAAATAGTGCTAGCCAAATTAAGGAACAATATCTTATGACATACATGTGTCATCATCAATACTTATTATAGCTCTACAAAGATAAGTTATAATATGCTCGAATGAGCAGCACATGGTTGGAAATGATATGAACAATCTACTTACAGAAGCTGTAATTTTCTCTTTTTGGTCATAAATAATGATTTCACCATCACTTTTTGGTTACAGGGAGCTGATAAAAAGAAGTAGCATGATAGAAAGGGAATGAAACGAGGGTATAAATAAGGACCTGCATGATCTGAAATTATTCAGGGATCTGTTCCTTTCATCTCTTTCTTAGCTGTACTGCAGCATCTCTCCTAGGGTTTGCCCACATTTAGGGTTTATGGTATAAATAGGTGATGCCCTTTAAGAAAAATGTTATTTTGTTTCAAGGATATATATAATCTCCAAAAGAAGTATTTACACACTTATGAAATGAGACATATAGTATTGATATTGTATTAAATTTTTTTTTGTAGCTCAATTTGTTTATACAAAGAAGTATTTACACAATTAAGAAGAGAGAGAGAGAGGATGCAATAAATTAATTAGCAGTGGCATGTCTACAAAATGGTCCCAAAAGCAGTAAATAATTGCTTAAGCCGAATGAATTTAGGCCACTTGCCCCAATGCAACAGTGGCCAACTAATAAACATGTTGCCAAATGTTTTATCTTCAAAAGAACAGATAACTATATATTTGGTCTTCAAGGGAGCAGAGTACTAATTAACCCTTGTTAATCTACAAAGTACTCAATTTTGGTCTGCTTAGGCAGCTAATCACATGCATATTTTTCCAAGCAAAAGTAATTAATGCATTCGCTTTTCCACTTAATCAAAATAAGCCTCACATGAAGAAAACTATCATCTCTCCCACTCTCTCTCTCTCTCTCTCTCTCTCTCTCTCTCTCTCTCTCTCTCTCTCTCTCTCTCTCTCTCTCTCTCTCTCTCTCTCTCTCTCTCTCTCTCTCTCTCTCTCTCTCTCTCTCTCTCTCTCTCTCTCTCTCTCTCTCTCTCTCTCTCTCTCTCTCTCTCTCTCTCTCTCTCTCTCTCTCTCTCTCTCTCT